AGGATTAATATCAGCTCTCCCATTTCTGAGAGCTCACAGACATTTCTTCAGCTGACATCCACCAGCTGTGTCATCATCTTCCAGCGCTGACTCCTCTGAAAAGGAAAACACAAATTCTTGCTGTCCCCAACGCCAGCACCTTCCTCTGTGCTGCCTTTGCCTCTTCCACAGAAGTTGGGCAACAGTTGCTGTTCTTTCCTGTTCCTTTTCCTGCAATTACAAGATGTCTGGATCCATCTTTTGATCTTCCACAAATGACGCCTGAGCAAAGATGACCTGGTTGTGATCCACATTTCTACATCTCATGCATCAACAGTACAACAGGGCAGCACAGCCCTTGTTTGCTGAATGACGCAGGCTGTACAAGAATCCCGCATGACATTTTACCATCCTTTTCCTGATTTTTGCGGCAACTCCTCTGCCCTTGATGAGTTTTTCTGGAAGTCACCTTGTAAATGTTGTCAAACCGTGTGTGCAAAGCAGGCGAGCAGAATGAGCACAGCCGAGGTTTGCTCTGGCAGCGGATCCAACCCCGGCGCCTGCAGGGCTCCCAGACCCAGAGCCTGCAGGGGATCCAATCCGGGAGCCCGCAGGGATCCCAGACCCAGAGCCTGCAGGGGATCCAGTCCGGGAGCCTGCAGGGATCGGACCCCTGGAGCTGCCGGCCGGATCCCCGTAGCCACGGGCAGGGAGCTGCCGGCTCGGACGTGGCTGCAGGACCGTGTGCCCCGTGTGCTCCATGTGCTCCCTTGTTCTCCCGTGTGCTCCGTGTGCTCCTGTGTGCCCCGTGTGCTCCCGTGTTCTCCCTTGTGCTTCCGTGTTCTCCCGTGTGCTCCGTGTGTTCCCGTGTGCTCCCGTGTGTTCCCGTGTTCTCCCGTGTGCTCCCGTGTGTTCCCGTGTGCTCCCGTGTGCTCCCGTGTGCTCCGTGTGCTCCCGTGTGCTCCCGTGTGCTCCGTGTGCTCCCGTGTGCTCCCCGTGTGCTCCGTGTGTTCCCGTGTGCTCCCCGTGTGCTCCCGTGTGTTCCCGAGTGCTCCCGTGTGTTCCCGTGTGCCCCGTGTGCTCCGTGTGTTCCCGTGTGCTCCCGTGTGCTCCCCGTGTGCTCCGTGTGTTCCCGTGTGCTCCCCGTGTGCCCCGTGTGCCCCGTGTGCTCCCGTGTGTTCCCGTGTGCTCCGTGTGCTCCCGTGTGTTCCCGTGTGCTCCATGTGTTCCGTGTGCTCCGTGTGTTCCGTGTGTTGCCGTGTGTTCCGTGTGTTCCCGTGTGCCCCGTGTGCCCCCCGTGTGCTCCCGTGTGCTCCGTGTGCTCGCTCATTCCTCGGGCACCAAGGGGACCGAAGTGAGTGCGGAGCTGGGAGGGATCAGGCACAAGGTGAGGGTGAGTGCAGTCAAGAAACCCAGAGCCCAGGGAGAAGGAGCGAGGAAGAACACCACAGAGCAACAGAAAAAAAAAATAACATCACAACAAAAGAGAAGACAGTAAAAGGGAGCGCAATAATGGGCATGCATTTCTCTTTCTTCTGCCCCGTGGCAAGCCGCCAATCTCTTCCACACAAATTCCTCAGTGCTACTAAAACCAGTCCCCATGGACACACCTGCCTTAAGACAAATTCTTTTAGTCTTGAAAAAATCTGGGCACTTCTTCAATAAGGCGCTTTGCTTTTAAACTGCTTTGCCTTTGTGAATTTTGGCAGCAGCTCACACTTGGAGAGCTTTTGAGAACCCTTTCTGTAATGAGATTTCCCTGCCCTGCCCCAGGGGACTGCGGGCGAGTCACTTCCCACAGCTGTCCCTCAGCTTCCAATTCTGTGACGTGTGGCTCAGCACCACCTCAAAGGGCTGGGGCGAGGCACCGTTTGTGTGTGAAGAGCTGAGGAATAAATCCATGAGGTGCTGAGCAGCACATGAGTGCTGTGAGCATTGTGTTACCATCAGCTCATCCCTCGGGTATGGCAGGAGGTGGGGCAGGCCCTGGAGTAAGGTTTAAAACACTTCACTGGCCGGTACAAACTCCATAAAGTGAATGAAAGAGGAGGCAGTGGAGCCATGTCACAGGACTTATTCCTTCTACACAGTAGGGCCAAAGTTTAAGACCAGAAAATACAAACAAGCTTAGGAGTACCAGCTAAATACTCAGAAATAAAGAAAATCTCTAGCTGAGACTTTTCCAGTTCCTTCTCATGCAGGTTATCTCCTGAGCCACCTGATGCTGGAGGTGTTTAGGGGTGGCAAAAATCCTGTGTTTGTACTGACAGTAGTCTCCCTTCTTTTCCTGCTCTGACCAAAATCAGACTAGGCTGTCTGCAAGGGAGTCCAAATGATTTGCAACACGGTGCAGTAGAAAAGAGCACCACTACAATTCTGTGGATACATGGCTAAAATAATGGGCATTATGACTTCTGCCCATTTCTGCCCATTCTGATTTTCTTCTGAGTTAAGTTTCTAGTAATATAAGAATAACCTGCTCCTTCTGTCCTATTTTCTCTCTTTTTTATTCTATAATTTCTAACCAAGCCCTTATCACATTTGCTCTGAGAAAGAGCTCAAGTTTCTCTTTATGAGCCAAGTTGCCTGTGTTGGCTTAGACTTGGTTCCAACACCATAGCTTAGCAAACATATGCTAAGTTTACTTCCTCTTTTTTGGCAATAGACATGCTCTCCCCGCTAAACAATCAATTACCAAGAAAAAGTAGGGTCTGAAGATATGGATGCTGACTTGAGCCATGCGGAGTCTAATTCTGGCTTGACTGCAAATTTAATTTGAAGTCTTGAGCAAAACAATAAAGTTTTCCCATCAAGTCTTCTCTCAGCAAAAGAGGGAATAGTTACTTGCCTTGTAGAGATGCTATAAAGACGGAGAAAGTAATTAAATAGTTTATTTAATATGTAAAATATCTCTTAAGAATTACCTAGAAACCTCAATTAGGGTTTATAAACAGGCTATTTAAAACCACAATTGGATAAAAAGTATTACCATTGAAACTAATTAATGAAATAACCATGGTAAAAACTCCTCAGATATGAAGAATGGAACATAAATCTGCAGTTGCCCGGCAGAGTACATTCCTCTTGGAAAAACAATTGCTCTTTGTTCACTATGGTGGAACAAAGTAATTGCAGACGCATGAGGAAATTCTTGTAGCCCATGATACTCCTCGATAATGCCTTCCATTATTGTTGGTCTTTATTTTTCATTATCTTATAACACTTTGGCCTTTAGTTGGGGTCTGTCCGGGTATGGCTGGTACCACAGACACAGAAGACAATGAAGTGCCCTGCCCCAAAGAGCTTTTGGTCAGAGATCCCCAGTGCCCAACGGTTTACATGGCACTGGAAGGCCATGTACCATTGCCCTGATTTCACACACATGCTCAAATTTCCCCTTTTCCCCTGTTTCACATGAAGCAGAACAAGGCTGCTTATCTCTGACTCCCCCCTCAGTGGGGCCTTGCTGTGTTTGCTTGGTGTCACACCAGTGTAGGGCAGGTCAGTGCTGCTCTTGGAGCTGTGGATCTGCTCATGTGATTGTGTATCAGAAACACTGCACAAGTGGACTGAGGCCTTCCAGGACTCTTTCCTCAGGTCATCCTGCTCCATGCTGCTAACCCCAAACGTGCAGTTGCATACAATGATCTTTGTAGGTGAGAAATAAATGTGCTCTTTGCTCTGGCAAGCTCCCTCTGTGAGTAGTAGGCACTAACTTGCCAGTTTACTAAGAGCTGATCTCCACCAACCATGTCCAACAATCCAAGGTACTAAACTGAATGTGGTTTGCAGGTAGGTCTGTGTGGATGCTTGTTTTGTCAGCTTCATGGTCTGTTTCGTTTGTATGTCACTTTCATTTGTAAAAGGTGTCAGAGAGACCTGGAATCTCTAGGGACAGGAAAAACCAGGTATTTTGCCTGGTTCTACTTTAGGCCACTTGCAGAAGTAAAGAGCATTTCCATTGGTATCCCAGCCAAATGTCACTCCTCTAAGGCAGGTGCTGGCTTCTTCCAGGAGTCCTCATGGGAAAACCTTCCCCCTTTCTGAGAGACCCCTCTCCTGCTAGGAAACACAAGGAGAGGAGAGGAGAGGAGAGGAGAGGAGAGGAGAGGAGAGGAGAGGAGAGGAGAGGAGAGGAGAGGAGAGGAGAGGAGAGGAGAGGAGAGGAGAGGAGAGGAGAGGAGAGGAGGCTGCCTGACTAAAGAATGCCTTTAAAGGTCAAATAACCTTTTCAGTTTCTGTGCTATAATAGATTTTAAGACAAAGAAACATACAAACAGTGGATGAAAGTATATCAGGATAAGGGGGCATGTGAATTCAGATAGTGCAAAGTCTGTGATTTCTGTACAACCTGTGGAGACCCTTGAGAGCAGAGACCTGAGCAGGCTGGGCATGCACAGCCTGGCCAGAGCAGACAGAAAATACAGTGGGTGCTGCAAGGGCAGCCCTGAGAGGCAGAGCAGGATGCAGCACAGGCACAGCAGCAGGGTGCTAGTGCTGATAACAGACACCTCTGATGGCAGTGGGACTGGCACCAGCTCAGACACTGCATAAAATCAGTGGCACCAAGTGTTGGCTTCACTCATGCTGCCCCATACCTCTGGTGGGCTTTGTGCCATTCTGGTTTAGGTTGGCTGTAGTGATCATTGCTTCTATGATGTTTTTGGATTTGTAGAGTTATGATGTCAGGGAATTGCAGAGCTCCCCTGTAGAAAGCAGAGGAGAATGAAAAACCACAGAATTCCAAGATGGAAGGAGCAGAAATAAATTCAGTGCAGTAGAGGTCCATTTTCTGAAGACATTAAACAGCTTTAAGACTACACTAGTAAATGAACACACCCTTTTTATCACTGAGGCAACCAAAGTGGGGAGAGTGGAAACAGGCTGTTATAGGTAAAGCCAAATGAGATGTTGCCTAGTAACTCTCAGCAGGGAAGCATTTAAACCCAGCCAGTTTAGTGAAGCTGATGTTCTGAGTCAGAGATTATTTTCCCTGGAAAAAATTCTGAAGGAAGGAAAGCTCAATTTAACATACATAGGATTTATTTTGCTTTTAGGGCAAACCATAATGACAATGCTTGGGAGACTGCAGAAGTATTTACAAACTTGTACAAGGAAGAACAGACAAGGCATCAAAAGCAACGCTTTACCAAGCCTGGTTTTTTAATGTTGATTTATTTCCCCCAAATACAGTAAATTCCATATTGATTTTTATTTTTGAATTCTGAAATACCTAAGTGATAACAGAAGTCTGCAAATATTCCACATATCAATACATTATTATAATTTAATTGCTGTAAGAGAAGTTTCTGGAGCAAACCCCCTTTCAACTCTGCTATTGGATACAGAATCAAAATAATTGATTTAAAAGAAGAAAGACTTCATATCTCCACTGGTTCCATCACCTGAAACATTTTTAATTAGGTCCTCCTTCAGGACTTTGCTTTTATGGGTTCACTGAAAAGTCACTTGGCTCAGCTAAGGGTCTCTCACATCAGGGGAAAAAAACCCTCAGACCTTATTTGAAGATTCACGTTATTTTTGCTTCCCTTGAGAAGGATATGATGATTTTATAGAAGTATAAGTTTACCATGGTCAGCCATGTCCATCTGTGCGCTCCTGAGTGCCACAACTACTGCCCAGAACAGGCAGTCAGGTTCAGGAGAGCACCTCATTTCACAGCCTCAATACAAATAATGACGATAGCTGCAAATGTGAACTATTGCATAGATTTTTTTTTAATTAAAAATACAATAAGCAGATCAACACACCACACTAACCATGAAAAGACAGACTGCCAAAGAGTTAAAACAAAAATATGTATTTTATCAACAATGATAACAACTGGGAAACAAAGCTACTACAGCATAAATACTAAAATTTGAGTTATATATTAAAAGCATGAGAGTTTTCCACAAGCATGGTGTAGGAGCAGAGAAAGAATGTTCTGGGAGCCAGAGAGAGCCACTTGTCACTGACCAGAGCCTGGTTTGAAGTTTAATGAAATACTGTTGATACAGAACCTCTGCCCAGAAGGTGTGGGTCCATCATCAAACACATGGCCTAGATGGGCATCACACTGCAACAGAAATCATTACCATTTTATTATTGTATTGCTGCAAAATGACAGAGTCATTTAGGTTGGGAAAGACCTCTCATTCACAGAGCCCATCTTTGACTGATCACCACCATGGCACTCATTGCCATGTCCAGTGGTTTCTTGAACACCTCCAGGCATGGTGACTCCACCACGTCCCTCAGCAGTCCATTCCAATGCTTAACAACCCTTCTCATGAAGAAATTCCCGCTGATGTCCAACCTGAAGCGCCCTGGTACAGCCTGAGGCCATGTCCTCTTGTCCTGTCTCCACTGCCTGGGAGAAGAGCCCAACCCTCACCTGGCTGCACCCTCCTTCCAGGCAGTTGCAGAGAGTGACAAGGTCACCCCTGAGCCTCCTTTTCTCCAGGCTAATCATCCCCAGCTCCCTCAGCTTCTCCTCATCAAAGTTGTGCTCCAGACCCTTCCCCAGCTCCATTGCCCTTCCCTGGCCTCTCCCCAGCACCCCAATGTCCTTCCTGAACTGAGGGACCCAAAGCTGGACACAGAACTCAAGGTGTGGCCTCACTAGCACCATTTACAGGGGGATGATCTCTGCCCTGGCCCTGCTGCCACTCCATTGCTGAGCCAGGCCAGGATGCCATTGGCCTCTTGGCCACCTGGGCACTCTGTGCCTCATGTTCAGCTGCTGTTGAGCAGCATCCCCAGCACCTTTCCCTCCAGGCATCTTGGCAGCCACTCTGCCCAGGCTGGAGCTGCAGGGCTTGTTGTGAGGCAGGGGCAGGAGCAGGCCCAGGCCCTTGGCCTTGTTGGGCCTCAGAGCTCTGGGCTCTCCCCATCAGCGCAGCCTGTGCAGATCCCCCTGCAGAGCCTTGCTGCCCTCCAGCAGCTCAACACTCCCAGCCAGCTCAGTGTGTCTGCAGGGCCTGAGGGTGCCCTGGATCCCCTCCTGTGGATCATTGATAGAGACACTGAACAGAGCTGTGCCAGCACTGAGCCCTGGGCAGCACTGCTGGTGACCAGAAACCATTGTCATTGCATTATTATCCTTGGAATTATGGACCAACATTATTATTACTGTGCTATCCTGAATTAAGAAACTTCCATGATTAAATCACTGTGGAGTTCTGTGAATGGGAGAGTCCTGGGGAGTGACAAGGAGTCACATCTTGTCAGTGGGCAAATATCTGCCCCCAAACAAGCAGATCCCAGAGGAGACATTCAAAAGGTATTATTGCCAGAAAGTATAGGAAATAAATGAGAGGATCTAAACATCTCAATATGTCATGAGAATTTCAAGTTAATAAATCACTGTAGGTCATTCTCACAGATCAACTGAGGATTCCCCTCTCAAATTACTGACATGAAAATATTAGACACGGTATAGCTATCAGTGACATAATAAAATTGGAATGTCTTCAGCTGGGGTTCTTGAAGGTGCTTGCTGCATATGGCTGCAAATGTGAACACTTGCAAGACAAAGGGCTGTAGCAAATTCTGGTTACATTTGCAGAGGTACATAAGCCTGCTGCAAGCACACTGAAGGACAGCATTAACAATCTTAACAGTTTACAAAAACAGACACACTGAGACATTTAAAGAGCCCAAATTCAAGATGCAATTCATTAAATTCAATTGCATACTTTTATACTTTAACATAAGTAAAAAACAGATTCAGGGTTGGGAAGAAATGGTTAAAGATGGCAGTTGCTTAGAAAAATAACCTGGGTATTACAGCAGGTTGCAAAATAAATATGTGTCTGTGTAATATGGTCTGTGGAAAGGTAAAGGTGCAAGGACAGGAACATAATTTCTAACACACCTGAACAGCCTCTAACCCTGCTGCAGGCTGGGCCCAGCTGCGTCCAACCTTGCACTCTACTACAAGAAGGAAAAGGGTCAATTGGGAAGGATGCAGAACAGAGCAACAGAATGGTGAGCACACTAAAAAGCACTGCATAAAAAGGAACAGCTGAGGGAGCTGGAACTTTCTAGTCTAGAAAAGAGATAACTAAGAGGAGGGAAAACGACTGAGGGAGTCAAAATAGCTAGAAAAAATAGAAGGGTACCTTTTGTGAAACAAGAGAATCCACAGAAAATAGCTGTGGAGATGCAGAGCACAGCTACCACCCTGCAGGACAAATAGCAATGGCTGCAAATGGTTTCAAGGGCTAGTGTCTCAATCTCTGAATATTTTAAGAACATCTACAGCAAATATTTAGTAAGGCTGAAGGAGGAAGAACTGTCCCTGTGATGGGCCAAATGCATGGACCCTATCTCAGTCTCTTCTACCATCTCTTGTCACACCTTGCAGCACACCTTGAGTACATTTTCTCTGTGAGCTCCAGCCTTTGCATACATACACACTTGCTTTCCCCAGTCACATACTTTTCTTCAGCTCAGACTTGGAAAGAATGGCTCCAGTGATACTGTAATTCCCACTGTTGTATTTAGGTAGATTCATTTAGGTAGATTCATAGGCACAAAGAAAACTTATCTGCTAAGTTTTGTGTCTTTGTGTATCATCTCCAAAATAAACATACCTGTTTGCAGACAACTTCAGTTCTTCTTAACCCCAGGGAGTTGTCTGGTCGTCTCACAATATTGGTGTTACTTTCATCTCTGCCACAAGTACCATAAGCCTCAGAAAAAGATGGCCATCCAGTGCCAGAATTGTACTTCTTCTCTGAGCTGTAATGGAAACCAGATCTTCTTGTCAGTTAATAGCAGAGATGTTACAAAAGAGTCTGCTTCTATTAAAGAACATTGGTTTCTTCCCTCATTCCTGTGTTGTACCAATATTGATATTTGGCCCAGTAGAAGTTTTCTCATTGGCATCAAACTGTGCTGGAAGCTCTCTTCCAAAGGGAATTCTCAATCAGCTCACAACAGGAGATTTTGTCTCACTGTTTCTATTTCAATGTCAGGTTGGTATTTATAAAGTTTAGAAAAGGAGTTTTTTCCTGACAACTGTGCTATACTAACGTTGTGCTGTAGTGTTTAGCTGAATTACACCTACAGAGCTGCAGTTTGAAGCCTGGCTCAATCCAGCAGTCCCAGAGAAGAGAGTTTGCAAGAAGAAATGAAGAGTAGACAAAGGCTGGGCTGGCCCACCAGACCAGGCTCGTGCCTGATGATGATGGAGGCTTTGTCTTGCAGTCAGCCATCAAGCTGGCTTGGAAAATCAAACAGAGCCTTGCTCAAACCATCAATCAACCAATGACAAATCCTCACAGCACAAAGATCTACTTTTCCCAAGAGATAATGGCAGCCATAAGAAACAGTACAACAGACTGTCAGCTTGTGGGTGCCCCTGTTAACATCCAGGGTGACCAGCCCTGTTTAGCTGTGTATTAAAACCCAGAGTGTGTTGGCAAATATGATCAAAATACATTTTAGGGATTTGGTACAGAAATGAGATAATCCCTTTTGTTTAAAATTGTGCAAGTTTTGACAGCAATATGAACCTTCTCTCATCAAAGAGGGACCTAGCATGAATTAGAACAAGAAATTAAGATAGGTTCACGTACTTCTCAGATTAGTGGTCTGGAGACTCACCACAACCATTTCCTCACGATTTCTCATGTTTTTTTCCCAGTTTTGCAAACCCAATGCTCTTACTGGCATCTAGTGGTGGATGGAGACATCAGCACCACTAGCAGCTCGATCAAGGGGATTGAAAGGTTAGCAACGACAGAATTTAAAACAAAGTATGTAATGCATCATGTATATTTTGGTGGGTTGTTCACACGGCAAAGAAAAAACTGGAAATCTTAATTGCAGTGCCTTTTAGAAAGACAAGGCAAACAAACTGGACAAAAAGCTTTAAAAATCCAAGCCAAAGAGCAGTGCATGAGTCAGCATTTTTATAATCATCTGTACAGGGCTGTCGTTGAGTAATGCAGCTGTGGAAATAAAAGAGGATTTGCTAGCACAGAATGAGCAAAGGCTAGATTTTGTGTGGGCTGTTGCTTAGTGGTTTACATCAACACACAGATAGCCATGAGAAATGTTCTCCTTCCCTCTCCATAAAGCTGGAGAGAAACAGGGCACAGCACAGGAGCAGCCTGCTCTGAAGCAGATGCAGTTTGCAGACTCAGTGTTTGTGCATCAAGGTCCTCAGGGCTCCAGGCTTGTTTCTTTCCAGCTCAAGCAGGCTCCCTGCTTTCCCTGCCACAAACCCACAGGAACACTGTCCCTACCAGCCACAGAGTCCCCAAGAATGACCTGAGGGACACAAATCCATACATGACTTCTGAGCTTCCCTGGCATACATCTGTTCTGTTTCTTTTTATCAAAACTCTTTTATTTTTTGACACAGGAATCCTTCTGTTTATTCACACACAGATACAAAGATCCTCTTTGAAAACCCACAGAGTCAAGGAAGGTCTTTAACACTGTGTGGGTTTTGCATCTGACCCTGAGTGACTCTGTCCCTTACATGCCACTCACAATACTTGAGTTTATTGTAGATGTTTTCCACTGCTAAAGGAACAATCTTTTGAGCTGTTAAACTAGCTCTCAACAGAAATGGTCTCTGTGTGGTTTTATTAAGAGTAATGTCACTTAGACTCCCTAATAAAAACATTTTAGTACCCAAAAATATTGCTGTTCAAGATCATATTTGTCCTTTGAAGTATTTCACCACTTAAATTATGGATAAATGGACTTTCCCGAAACATATGCATTAGATTAGACCTCAACACACCATTCCTCCAGCACATGTCATTTACTTTGATCCCCGTTTCAGTTGTTCTGGATGGAATCCAGATAATTCTAAAAAGTACTTTTTGCTGTATGAATCTCAGCTGTAGGTTTATGGTTTGATGAAGGTTTGAGATTTCATTAAAGCACCACAATTTGCTATCTGTAAATGCTAGGGGTTTGTTCCGTGTATTTCCAACTCTTTCAAATGTATATTTGGTAGCAGAAGGTACTAAATTATGATTTAAATGTATACACACATGTTTCAAAGAAAGGAAGAAATACTTCATGTTTACCTGCAGTTATTGATCTAATGCATTTGAAAAAACCAAAAATTCACAAGAACATTTTTAATGGACTAGGAAAAAATAAATATGATGAATGAATCTCTTATCCAATACCACTTCTCCCCCTCATTGCTTGTGATCTCCACAGCACAACATCTCCATGGAAAATATATTTTCAGGTGATTTTTCACATTTAATAGTTTCCTTTTTTCCTACAAGATTTTTTTTTCCAGAAAGTTTGGCCTTTTTTGTCTGTGGGGCTTAGCATTATCTTGTGCTGCAAAGGAAAGTGCTTATATTCCCTGGGAGCTGGATAGTGCAAAGGGCAGCCTGGCTGTTTGGTTATATTGCTGTTTTGTTACCAGTTTAACAACAGAAGCAATTCCCTCCAGTGTTTGTCTCTCTTCATGTTGGCCTGTCAATATCAATTGTCTAATATAAAAGGGGCCAAAATTGAAGGAAAACCTGAAGGAATGGAAGGAACTCTTCCATAGCTTAGTACTTCACATTTTCTCTAATTTATCTGAATTTTCCAGAGGTTTTTAGGTTTTATATTTCTCTTCAGAGTATTTTGTGATGCTGAGCTAACACCAGAAATTAATTTATTTAGAAGTATTCATTAGCAAACCTCTATGGAAAATAATACATTTAAGCAAATGCAGGTTTGCATAACAATAGTTTTCTGCACTTAGCCGAAGGAAAACTAATTGTACACAATTTTCATTTAATTGCTTAGTTTGGGTTTATTTTCAATACATTCATTACATTTTCCCCTCCTTTCTTACTATCCAGATCTCTTCATCCTTAGCATCCCATTTGAAGTTCTGATCTGTGATTCATCCTTTAAATCAGCCACATTTCATTCAAATCTCAGTTGGGAATAAATAAGGACTATTTTCTAGACCAAAAATAAGAGAAACTGTCTTTCCTGGTTCAATTACAGAGAACAGAGCACTCTCTGCACATCCTACTCCAAGGCACTCTATTTCCTTTTACTTAGACATTAATGAAGTTGCAAAATACATAGTGTTGTAAAGAGCACAGAGGTTAACTGTGCAATCATTTACAGCCAGGCTTCAAAAAGTAGATGCAACCAAAAAGGCAAGAATAGTGGGATTTAATTTAGGGAACAAGGAGGGGGTGGGGGTGGAGAGAAGCTCTCACTGCAGTGTGAGGGACCAGCAGTGAGAACATCACAACAGCAGACAAAGGCAGACCAAGGTCTCCAGCCCAGCTGCACGAGTGGCAGAAGATGAGTATGGAGGAGCACAAGAACAGAGCAAACACACAGTGATACTCATGCATAAATACGTGGATTTTGTACCAGCTTGTGGCTTAAGGACCTTTTAACCAGAGAATTATTATCATCTAGAAGGAAGTGTGTCAGGAGAAACAGGCAGACTGCAGCCTGAAGCTGTGTGCTGGCCCTGGGCAACCCTCATCAAGGAAAAGGCATACCATGGAACTGTGCCACCACAGGCATCCTGGAACACTTACACACAGCCCTTGGGCACCAAGGGATTGTTCTTCTGACCAACACTTTCCATACCATCCATGAAAAGACATTGCCCTTCCTGCCACAATCAGTACACGTTAAAGATGCTGGGAAATCCAGAGGCTGTTACCTGAAGAGGGGGGCATTGCAGCACACACAGCAGTATATTCCTGATTCTGTGTTATTCAGATAGATCCCACTGAATGGCTTTTCAAATAGGAAGGAAAAAAGAGAAGTTAATAATGTAGGTCTTTAAAAGCTCACCATCTGGAAGAAGCATGTAGGAATCAGATTCAAAACAGGAGAAAAACCATAAAAAGAAGGCTTTGCAGGGGGGCTTTGAAGAACAAACATTAGCAGCCTGAAAAAATGAAGGGGAGGATGCCTTTGGGCTAGTAGTGAAGACTACCCCCTACCCCCACAAACTTTGAGACCAGTCAGGTGCATAAATCATCCAGGTACCAAGGATGGAGTCATGACGTCCAAGAAACTGGTGAGATGTGCAGGATCCCAAAGGCCAGGGCTCTGCTATGGACTGCCACAATTTTAAAGTGGCTTTACAAAGAGATTCTCTTCCTCCCTGCATGGTCTGGTACTGGGATCCCTATTTTACAGATATGGATTTGGGCACAGATCACAGGTACATGCTCCATGTGTGCAGAAGTCCTGTCTCTGGGCTAGGGACAGCCAGCACTCCACCCACAATGCTACATGGCTTCCTTCCCAGGAGGAGAAAACATGGGGACATGTGGGTGGGTGATCTGGCACCTGAGGGAGAAGCTATCCCCTGAAGGGAGCACTATGTTTAAGATTTCCACAGCTAATCTACATATGGTCATAAAAAGGAGGCTACAGGATAAAAATATCTGAGGATCTCCCTGCCCTCTGGACAGGCCTCTACTCCCACCACACAAACAGTTAATCTGGCAGGAAAGTATCCCAGAAAAAAAATCCAATAAAATATGAAAAGAATGCAGAATGTTTTTCATCTGCTAAACAGTCTGGGTCAGAACAAAATCCATCCTGTTCCGTATGTTGAGTCTAACTTTCATCCACAGGAAGGCAGGGGAGGTCCTTGAATAAAGGGAGTGGTGAGAGCTCCCCAGGGCAGGTTTTCTGTGCCCAGCAGGCAGAGGAGGTGGCTCACCCTTGGGCAGCATCAGCATTTTGCTCACCGGTTCTGTTCCTTTTTCTCGTGTCACATAGAATTGCTCCGGAGTCAATTTTTTTTTCCAGTCAGTAGCAGCAGCTGCGTGAGCTTTTTTAGTGAGGGGATCTGTGTCTTCAATTAGATACAGAAAGATCATTTAGTCAGATAGCTTAGATTCCATTGATGCTTTCCATCATCATCTCAGTTCTCCAAAAGTTTCTGTGGGTGCAGACAAAGCACAGAGGGCAGTTCAGGGGCATGGGCAGGGGCACGTGCAGGACTTGGCATCTGCTTTCCATTTGGAGTGCTACATCCAGAGAGCTGCTCCAGCAAACCACTTGGGAATGCTTGTGGAGGAAATGGGCACCTCTGAGCCCAGGTACCATCCACTCTCCCAGCACAGCCCTCTGCCCTGGCTCAGCATAACCCCTGGTCTGCCAGTGCTCCTTCTTTATCCCTGGATAGCACTAAAAGGTTTGGTAAACCTCTTGGAAACCCTTAGAAACCAGAAGTAATGTTCAACTCTGGGCTGTGGAACACTGGCAGCTCCCACAGGCCCCAGTGAAAAGTGGTGCTAAGAAGGACTGGAAGAATGCAGCACCTACAGCCCAAGAGAAATGGGGGCACAGTTAAGTCAGTGACACACAACAGGAGAGCAGAAGTTGCCCATCATGGTGCAAACCTCCAGCAACACGTCCTGTGAGTTTGTACACACCAAGAACACTTGTGGTGGTATGGGATTGGCAAAGAATTAATAGACTGGCTGAAAAACAGGGAGTAAAATAGTTTAATACTCTCCTAAGCAAAAAGTCTGAGGTGGGGAACTGCTTCCCAGCCTGTCCCCCATCAGCAGAGGATCCTTGATAAACAATCAGCTCCTGAGGAACGAAACCTGAATTCATCCCTTGCAAGGTAGAAGTGAGACTGGGGGCAGGGGAAAGGGCAGGGGGAAATTAATTTGAAAATGATAGTTTAACCATAAAACCTAGAGCTTAGCCTGCCAGTTCAAGACAAAAACCTACAGCAGGCTAACGCAGCCCTCCCTAAGCGGCCAGGAGCCGGCGAGCAGGGGCTCCTTTCCCCTCCCCATGCGGTACCTGTGTCTCTGTGCGCAGCGCGGCCGGCGCTCGGCAGCGGGGAGCGCAGGGGGCGGCTCCTGAGCATCCCCCCGAGCATGCTCCCGGGCATCCCTCCGAGCATCCCCCCGGGCATCCCTCCGAGCATCCTCCCGGGCATCCCTCCGAGCATCCTCCAGAGCGGACGGGCCGCCATAGCGGCGGGGCGGCACCGGGAAAGGTTCCGGCCGTGTGTAATCCCTGCGTTCCACCTAAAGAATCAGACCTCATAAAAGCTATGAGTAAAGCACCCGCTTAAATGCCGATGCAGCATTTGCAGGTAAAGGTTTCAATCACTTCTTACCGAGACTAGCTTAAAAACGAACACTCGCTGCAGCCGTAAATGCAACAAAATCCTGTTGAGACATTTGCTTGCAGCTATTCTAGGCTGTTTTTAAGGAGAACAGGTCTGGTACTTGCATGCAAAAGCGCTCTTGCTGTCCTGAATGTGTGTTACAGGCACTGCTCTCAGCGCTGTTGCTCGAGGAATGGCGAAGGAGCTGTGCTGAGGCTTTCCTGCAGTGATTTGCAGTCACAGCTGCCTTGGCTTGGCCTATAAATATACCTGTAATCCGACACGTGTGTTAGCTTGGCAGCCCATCCTTTAAAGGTAGATCTAAACACAAGTTAGTTTTCTAGATTAAGCCTTAATGTCTGCTTCTCTTCCAATAATTTAATTTCTGATTTGGAATTAGTTCATCATTTCAGAAGAATGGGGAAGGAAGTGTTTTGATTACATTGGACAACAAAGCTAATAATGATGCTAATAATAAACAAAGATAATGATAAATTTACTTTAATTTTAATCTAGTTCTTCTAGCCTAATTCTAAAATCAAAGCTAAAAAATAGTCCTGTGTAATCAGTCCTGTATATACACGTTTGTATTGAACCATCCTTATGCCTAAGACAGTGAGTTGCATGGCAGCTGAGGACATCCAACACAGCATCTGCTCAGTAGCACGGCTGCAACCACTGCCTCTGCTGGGATCCACAGAGCACTGCAGCGCGGCACGGATGTCAGCGAGGCTCCCCCGTGCTGCAGGGGGGAGCAGGGCACACGGCTGACTTATGGCTTTGTCCTGTGCAATAACACACGCCGGAGTGAAGGCAGAGTACCTGGATAAAAACCCTGGAGGTGTGATGCCTGAGAGTCCTCAGAACTGTGATTCAGGCTGTTAGAGCAGTGCTGCTGGCAGGGAGGAGAGGGCTTTGCCACCCCACTTTGGTGCTGGCAGAAGGCAGCACCCATGTTATAGGCAGAGGGACAGCATTTTTCCATGTTCAGCCATTTTGGCAAGTGATGATCCTGTGATCTTTCCATATACTTTCTAACTTACCCCTACGGCATATCAGTCATTTAGCCGTGGTTCAGGAGGGAGGTGGAACAGATTAGGGAGCCTTTGGTGAGGAGAGGCCCAGTCTGACACGTCCCCAGTTCTGGCAAGTGGCTTGGGGCTAGAAAGTGGTAGCAGGTGACGGTGTCACTCCCAGCCTCTGTCTCCAGTTCTGTAGAAAATTTCCCTCACATTCCTGGTTTCAATCTCACTCAGATGGTGTTTGCTCCTGAAGAGGACAGGTAATCAATAGAGTTCTCCCTGAATTATCTGAGAAATGAAGGAGGCTGAGAGAAAGTAGTTACTCCTGAAACTTGCGTGTTTTCATGTAATTGACATCGATTTAACTGGTGCTTTTTCTAAAGACAAGATTAAATAAAAAATGAACTGTCAGTGTCTTTCTTGCAGGTCTCTTTTACTGGTACCATCCCAAAATGCAGCAGTTTTGAGGCAGTGGGAACTGAATCAACACAGTTCTGCTGCTGTACCATTTCCCCCAGATTCTGGAGCAGGGAAGTAGGGGTCTGGGGGCAGTGGGAGCAGAAGGAGCACAAGGCATCAGGCTCATCTGCCCAAGCCTCATCATCCTCTCAGTTACTCAGTTCATTACAAGCCACACATTGGTTAAAATGAGGGGGATGGTGGAAGAGGCAGATCCCATTCATCCCAACAGCTGTGATCCATGTTTGAGGTGGTACATGGCAGACCAGGAGAAAATCCTCCATTTTCCCCTCCAACAGAAGCCTGACCTGCAGTCATCCAAACCAGCATGACAGGTCTTCCTCAAGTGGAAAACAACCCCCCAGCTGGAGGTAATTCATTTTTCAGATCTTCAGTGCTGAAAAACCAAATCATTGTCCTGTCATGCCTGTAATGTTGCCTCCCATGGTTACAGCACACACCAAGCCGTGTAGCTAGGCAGACATCCGGCCTGCCTTTCTCCCCATAGACTGTTCTGAAAGCCAATTAAACTGTTACTTAATTTTCCTCCTATTTTTTTCCTCCCTTATGCACAAGAGGAAGCATTTAAAAATCTCCCCTAGCTACATTATGTAAATTTCCAAGTAAATTCTCCCTGAGTTGTAATTCAGCAGCTTTATTGTTAAAATGTCACCTGTGTCCAGCATGTACACAAGCTGCCTCCAGGGCAGGGTCACTAATCCAAAGCACAGTGTCCCATTAGACATGTGTGGATGGGGGGAAGCTCCTCCTGCAGTGTGGCTCAGTGCTGAGGCAGCAGCAGCAGCACATGTGCAGGTGAGAGCAGAAGGGAAGAGGGAAGCAGTCTCAGCCCAGACTATCCTGCTAATATTTATTCAGGCTCCAGCCATTTCCCAGGTCAGGCTCTGCCTGGACTGGTGGCTGTGGGGACAAGCAGAGCATCATGTAATGCCTGTGCTGGCAGATACTGAGCACTCAGCCAGGCAGCAACAAGGTGAAAAAGTGAAAAAAAAAACAAAAAAAAAACCTGTTCAAATTCAAACCTCTGCTTACACAACTTTTGTTAATAAAGCCCCATGGCATTACCATATATGGAAGAAAACGCTTGAAGGAAATTGTGGTGGTTTTATTTTATATGTATTTGTATTCAATCAGTTTTCCTCAGCTCACTTTGTCAGATCTATGTGTGTCCCCTCCTATGGGGTGGTTCCACTGAAACAGGTGGGAGCTCACCAGGCAGCAATTTGTCTTGGACCTGTCATATGTGAATGCTGTGTGCCCAGGAGCCCGGGGAATGAAGAGCAGGGTCTGGCATGAGCCCTTCAGTGGTGGCTTGTATCAGTGGGGGGCTCTGTTACCTCTATGGAAACCCTCAATGCTTTTGTAGGAGATACTGCAGGCACTCCCCATCCTTCCTCAGCAGAGTCTTCTCTCTCCTCTGATAGACTGGATACAGCTCCACAGCCAGCCTCTAGCTGCTCAGGTGTGGTGAAACTAAGAGCTCCTGGTATATGGAAGTACTGTTTCCACATGGAAGCACTATCTAAACATATGCGGTAGTGCTCTGGTGCTGAATTCCAGTGATGGAAAGGGATTTTGGCAACAGTTATTACAAGCAGAAGTGTCAAAGTACCTTGGAAAAGGGTCCTGCTGGTTTCCAGAGACACACAGAGACTGAATGCAGATCTGAACCTCCCTGAAGCTGATCTATGCATTCTGCTTAGATTAATTTATGGAGCAGCCTGATGTGATTCAGGTCAAAGACATCATCAGAAATAATGAAGACACAGCTTCTCACTTTGTTTGCTTTATGGTTTAATATCTCTTTTTGCTAATCATAAGCTATAGGATACCTGATTGTTCTAATGTTTGTTTTTGGAAAGTAATAGGTCATATTTGTGGGCTAGTTTAAGTGGGAGCCTTCTTTTGGAGTATAAGGGTGGAATTTGAAGAGGACATTAGAATAGAATAGAATAGAATAGAATAGAATAGAATAGAATAGAATAGAATAGTTGCAGTTGGAAGAGACCTAGAGGTTTGGTCCACTGTGACAAATGTTTTTGAGTTGGATTAGACCAAATGCCCTCCACAGTCCTGTCCAGTATAAATTATCCTGGGATTCAAAATGCTTTGAGAAATTTCTTGCATAACAAGTGAAGGCATGAATTCAAAGTTAAACGGGAATTTGCAATCACTCCTTGATAGAAAACTCAAGTCTGCAATTGAGCCATTGGTTCAGCTAAAAGTAGACATGCCATCTGGTGTGGAGTATGTGTATCTTCCAGGGCAGCTATTGGGAAGCAACAAATCCAGGATATTTCCCTGCATTACCCTGTGCATGCCCTATATCATACCATCCAGTTCCTTGAGCCATGTAGACAGTAATAATACATTCCACAAATTTGTGTGTGATTTCTTATCCCTTTTATCCCAAGATAGTGAAGAACTGAGTTAGTTCTTCCACACAGTACCCAAAGCCTGAACAGAAAATTGACCGGCAGCAACTGTCGCAGTAGCAACTTTCTGTAGGTTATCCTAATGGATTTATCACCCTGAACTAAGCCCTGACCATCTGTTCTATTCTCTCATTACAAACACAGAAAAAGCTAATTCATGATTGCATCATAAAAAAGTAAAATATAAATGATTTAAGAGTAGGGCATGCTTCACACTCCGATTAGGAAAATGCCTCTTTTCCTAGAGAGACTTCCCTGATAAGAGAGTTTGCCTTTTTCCCAGCAAATGGGAATTGCTGAGGAATGAGGCTCACTAGAACAAGTTTTATTCCCATTCATTCATCTTAGATGTATTTTTAAATTTGGGATTCATGTAAGTGAAGCTATGAATCTTCCTTTCCTTGTCTCTTAGGTGAGCCCCCAAAGATTTATTTTTGTTGGAAAAACTACCATTCTGTTCTCAAGGCATGAGCCAGTTCTCCACTTCATGGAAATGAAGTGCCTGGTGGCAATCTGGCCCAGCACACCCTGCTCCCACTGGAACAGGAGTTGGGGTTTCTTTTCCAGGACCTATTTGAACAACTCTGAACTGAGCAAAAACTCCTCCAGCTTCATGTCATATAAAATTTGGCCAGATCTGCGGGGACAACCTACTTATGTGGGAACCTTAAGTGAGGAACTTTTGAAAAGGCAGAATGTACTGAGTCAGTGCTGCTGTGGTAGAGGTTTTGTCCATACCTGCTATGTAGGAAGAGGGTAGAAAGGATCAGAGCGGGCTCTAGGTTTCAGATGGACCTCTTGTTTCTACACCATACTGCCATTCATCTTGCAAGAACAAATTCTGATAAGCCAGGTATTGCTAGCCCATTTGTTATGGAATTTCTTTAATTTCTGAGTGCCAAGCAAAGATACCTCCCCACCACACCTAATTGTCCAGCAGTGTTTCAGTATCAAAACTGAGCCCTGACCTGACTGAAACCTGTGCTACTCTCTACTACTGAATTTCTGTGGTCAGCAAATACACAGCAAGAGGCAACAACACACTGAGTCAGTGGCAGCCCCTGGATGAGGCACTGGAACAGGTTCCCCTGAGAAGCTGTGGATGTCCCACGCCTAGAAGTTTTCAAGGTCGGGTTGGATGGTGCTTGGGACACCTAGGTCTAGTGGAAGGTGTCCCTGCCCACTGTGGGGGTTGGAATGAGATGATCTTTAGGATCCCAACCCAAACCATTCTGGGATTCTGTGACTCCCATCCCTCCTCTATGCCATGGTAACAAATGCT